TTTCGTTTTCCGCGCAGGAAAACTGTGCGGCGCGAAAACGCCCAAACTTTAGCATACACACGGGTTCCGCACATCTGCGGCTATTACTATAGCCACAACGCTGGAATCAGCCTGGAATATCGCGCTTGGACTTTTTTTGCGCGTTTTCGTGTGAACATTATACATTTGAATGTATTATTTTTTATATTTAGCGTGTTTCCATGCGTACCTAAAAGGCGCAGGAAACCCGCTAAAATGTGAACAAAGACTTACACGGCTTCATTGAAGAGTGCTGCTTTGAAAAAGTAAAATGCGTAGGTGCCGTATCCGTAAATGTTGATCACCGACCAGTTGTGCAGCGGATCTTTCATATGCTTGGTCTTTCCATTCAACTTGTGTGTAGTTAGGCAGGCCTTCACATTACATAGATGTTGGTAGATTCAAAGGAAATTGTATAATCAGCGGCTGTACAGTCAGAATGGTTAGCTTTAGACTTCAGACAACCCTTGCTTCCATGTACAGGATGTAAGCTGAAGTAGGGATGCACCGATACTGATAATAGTATCGGTATCGGTGCCGATACCGAATATTTTGGTGAGTACTCGTACTCGCCCAAATGCTCCGATGCTTAGACCGATACCCGGGCTTCTGGTATCAGGAAACTGGGCAGCGAGTCATTACACGCTGCCCTGCTTTCTAATTGGCCGAAAAGCCGGCTTTCTGGCCAATCGGGAAGCCGGGCAGTTTATAATGACTCACCGCCTTGCTTCCTGATTGATCGAGAAGCTGGCCAATCAGGAAGCCAGGCGGCAAGTCATTATCAGCCCCACGGCTTCCTGATTGGTCAGAAAGCCAGGTGGTGAGTCATTAAATGCCACCTGGTTTCCTTAATGGGACTTCGGTATCGGTATTCTGTATCAGCAAGTACTGGAAAAAAATATATCGATATCGAAAAAACGGTATTGGTGCATCCCTAGCTGTAAATACCCTTCACACGTGTAGCAGAATCTGTTACATGAGCTACTTTCCTGCGTTTGTTGTGCGTGCAGCACCCATTGAAATCAATGGGCGATGTGCAGCAAACGCGGGAAAGAATGTGTGCGAACGCGACGCCTGTTCGCGGTACGGCTAGGTGTAAACGGATTACATGTCAAAACAGCTTCATTCCATAAGATTGAGTCAAACCCTTTACTGGACAGCCTCTTTAAATGCTTTACCATAGTTTTATTCCTACGTCTGCAGAAATGCTCTAAGCAGATATAAAACAATTATCTGCAGGCAGTGTAAGTACTTGGATTTGACCCGGTGTCAGCATCTCGCAGTCCCTGTACAACAAGGCTCAGGAGTGAGAGGAAGAAGTGGTACAAGGAGCATGCCGTGACGGAGAGATGAGCTCATCCCGGTGCTGATTCTCCTTCACTGTCTAGTAATGCGCTGGGTCGGGTCCATGACAGCCTGGGCTCAGAGGAAGTGGGTTGAATGATACTGGGCTTCAGACTGAGGACATCTAGTGGTGGAAAAGAATTAGACAGCTCTGGATTAAATAATTTTGCATCAAGGTTTTTAATGTTAAAGAGGAATATCCCCCTTATCCCCTCTCAAATGTTATGCTGGACCCAAAAAAACATACTCACCTGCCAGTGAATCCAGCATTGTCGTACTGTGATCTGCCACCGCAGCCCAGGACCTGCACCGCCAACTTCTGTGGTGTTGTATGAACCTGGCTCTTTTATCTGGGTTCTGCAGCCAGCACCTGATGACATGTGGCCAGGTCTGCCTCCCTGATTGTTGTGAATCCCTACTTCTGCAGCCTTCCTGAATTACCCATTTTCCAGGAGGCTGCGGGAGAAGGACACATCATTCCCACCATGGCAGGGGATGGGACTGGCCAAACAAAAAAGTAAACAAAGCCCCCCTCCACTATTTTATATTGCAAGGGGAGGCTTGTTTTAACATTCAATGGGCTATTCATTTTTGTTTGTGACATCTTTGGCTGGTGTTCCGATTTAACTCTTCTGCTGCTGAAACATCTCTGGCCTGCATTATATTGAGCTGGTCATGCTTACCCAGACGGGGAAACCAAACTTTAGCAGATCAGTCTGAAAACAACATAGACGTGAGCCTTATGTAAGTGGTGGACCAGAAGAAATGTAATGGATAGGATGACAAAATCAGGTTTTTCAAAAAAGGTTTGCTTTATAGTAACCTGTCACAGCTTCAGAGAAACTGGACAGGACTTGTGACACACCCGTTTCAAAACGTAGCCTAGATCTTTCTATTTGTTGTCCCGCAAAAAGGATCATCAGTTTATTGTGTGCCTGCTGACAACTCCCTCCTAGCCAAATATCCACAGCGCTTAGGTTGCCAACTGCTTTGTGACATAAATCAGGTTTGTTTAATCCACAAAATAACTGGCGTTTCTTTCTTTAGATCTGTCGCCTAAAATTCCCCATCTAAGCTGTCACAGCTTCGCATTGATGAAACTAATCAGCATTTGCTTTGCTTCCCGGCTGCCAGCACAAATTGTACGGCTGGTCCAAGCTCCTGTCTGCAGCAATAGGCTTCACAAAAGTGTTCTTCATAAATTGACATCTCGCCGTCCTGTGCTAATACCGGCAGATCTTTTTTTTTTGTCTTACCGCTAGTGAAAGGCCAGCATTTGTTCTATTTTACAACTCTCATTTGGAGATTTGGCTTTCATTATGTTTTGCTGCAGAGATTTGAACACTTCTGTACAGAAAATCATTGAACAAAATCAGTAAAGTCATTGAAAATGTTCATGCTGTTTAGTTTTTAGTTTTAATATTTTTTAGCAAATTATCAAGAATGTACAAAAAAATAACAGTGTAAAAATACCCCTTGTAGGGGAAATTGCTTGAAGCCAACACATTGCAGTCGGGTTGAGTTAGAAAATGTGAATTTAGGATGACTACGGGAATGGCGCTGGTTCTAAATATATGGTAGTGAAGCCTGGTAATATAATTCTAATAATTAGGCAATAGGGTCTATTTATAAACAATTTGTAGAGCCATTCGCCTTGTGAATTTCTGTGAAAGTTTGTTCTCTGTGAATGGAGGCAAAAACAAGTGTTTATTTTCTTTTCAGGTTGAATATAATATTCTAAAAATACTTATTATTATTATTATTATTATACAGGATTTATATAGTTTACAGTTTGCGCAGCGCTTTACAATATAAGGAATACATTACAGTTACAATACAATTTAAGACAAGATGGTAAGGAGGGCCCTGCCCATGAGGGCTTACAGTCTAAAAGGGAGGGGCAAGTGATACAAAAAGTGGTAGCAGTGTGGGAAAGAGTTGTTTGAGAGAGTAATGGTTCAGCGGTTAGGGAAGAGATGAGTCTTCAGGGATCGCCTAAAGGCAGACCGAGTAGGAGATTGCCGGACAGGTTGGGGTAAGGAGTTCAAGAGGATGGGAGAGACTCTAGAGAAGTCCTGGAGGTGAGCATGGGAGGAGTTGCCGAGGGAGATAAGCGAGCTGGAGGTCTTTGGAGGAATGGAGGGGACGGTTAGGGTATTGCTTTGAGACCAGGTTTTAGATATAGCCAGGGGCAGAGTTGTGGGTGGCTTTGCAAAGGGTTGTTAATATTTGGAATTTTATTATTTGGCTGATTGAAAGTCAATGCAGGGATTGGCAGAGGGGGGCACATACACTGAGTGGTTGGTTAGGTTGATGAGTCTGGCAGCAGCATTTATGGTAGACTGAAGGGGGATACCTTCTATAAAGGTAGACCAATGAGGAGGGAGTTGTAGTTATCATCCCTGGATGAAGCTGCGGAGGATAGGAAATACATTTTTGGGACATACAGTATGTTCTGGTGATTACTACGTAAGTGGGAGATTCGGGAAACAAAAGCAAAACAGAGCGCCTCCATAGTGTAAAACTTACACTATGGAGGCGCTCTGTTTTGCTTTTGTTTCCCAGATCGATGGTCTTTTTTGACCGGTGGGAGCTGCCTCTATGGTGTACTAATGAACTTCACAGCCGGATTTCTCTGCAAACCGGAGGCGCCGGTATTGTCTTTTTAAGTGGGAGATTCCTCTAAAGCTGGGGAGCCTCCCCAGTATGTATGTATAGATGGATAGTATTGCCGCCACAACCTCATGGGCTGATAAACATAAAGCATATTTAAATTAAATATCATTCTGAATATGCAATATGCTTATAAATTTAGATAAACTCAGTTTTACATTATTCTTTCATTTATTTCATGAGCATTAAAAGAAACCTGTTCAATATGTTTTGAGATTCCATTCAAATAGCAGATCTGGTGGAAATTCTTAGTGGATTTTCAAGCGAAATTAGTTCAAGCATCATCAGATGCTTCAGTGAAGATTTTTCAAAATATAGTGGGAATGTTTGGGCTGTGTATTGTTAGCTTAAAGTGACATTAAACCCTCAGATAGTTTTTTTAACATAAAACAATACTGTAATGTGTGCCTTACTGTAATCCATGGTTTTTTCCCTTCTCTTTGCTGCTCTTCCTTTTAAATCTGTATCTGTTCTCATGCTGGGCAGAACTTCTGTTTTGCAGCAGACTGCCTTGTCTCAGCAATGGATACACGGTGTCTGTGTATTAGTTTCCATAGGCTTGTAACCTGAGCCAGCACTACAGGAAGAGGCCCTGAGCTGCAAAGGGAAGTTCTCCCCAAGCATGAGAAGACATGAGGATTTAAAAAGGAAAAGCAGCAAAGAGAAGGGAAACTACCATGGATTACAGTAAGGCACACATTACAGTATTGGTTTATGTTAAAAAATCTGAGGGTTTAATGTCACTTTAACTGTGGAGGGATTTCCTCTTATTTCCTGTTCTGTCTCCAGAACAGAACGTGAAAGAAAATCTCCCCCGCAGGATAGCTAAAAATAACCTGTTGGGGGTTTTAACTCTTTCATATTCTATATTTACATATACTTTACTTCCCATTCATCAAGAATACAAGAAGGTCTTCCATAATATTGGGTGATACATTTCATTATCTATATGGACAGTGGGACAGAAGATAAAGTGACATAAAACTCAGGAGTTAAATCTTAAAAATACATTCAAGTATCTTAACTATTAACAAGAATGTATCTTATTTGTGTATCACTCGGCTGAAGATCCTCAAATCATCTCTGAATTGGTGCTGACACTGTCCTTCCTTCTGGAGGGTGGCTACTTTTGTTCCCCATGGACACAAACTTTAAATGTTCTTTTTGTCCAGCGAAAACGAAGAAGAAATACTCAGCCAATCCTCAGTCCCGCCTGGCTGCAAGACTAGTCTCTGCAGCCCCTTCTCTCTCTGGCTCCGGCAGTTTAAGGACCCATGACTACATCACGTCTAATACAGGTCTATTAGATGTAAGGGTCATACCACAGCCGGAGCGAAGGGGGGAGAGGTTAGCGGTCACTGCCGCAGGACCGAGGATTGAATGAGTATTGCTTCTTTATTTTTGCCCCTAGACCAAAACGAGCAGTTAACCCTTACAGTGCGGGGGTAGCCCCACCGCAAGGGTTCATTTTTTAAAATCCTGGAAATAATTGACAGTACAGTTTCCTTACAGATGTTTCAGTGATCTCATACTATAATTGCTCGGTTTCTCCTGCCTGTCAGAATGTTCTGCAAGTCCTGCAAATGCTTCCAGCACCAGGACAGGCAAAGCAATGTGAACAGCAAGGGGAGGCAGGATGTCCGCGGTCATGTTGTAACATAGTAAATATTTAGGAATGGGAGGGAATTACAGGGATGTTGGTCCAGGAAATATTACACTGTTTCTGGCTCATCATCTAAGGTTGGTATAGGGTGAGGACACGTCTAGAGTGGTCAAACTTGAAAGTAATGGAAGCTGGCAACTTCAGAACAAAATCTGTGGAAAATATTCCACAAATGTGACTCTGCATTGCACAACTGACCCAGAGACGGGTGGGATTATATGGAAAGTGGGCTTAATGGCTTTACTCGAGCTTGACTTAGATTTTTATGTAACTGCTAATTATGGATAATGGAACTGTCAGAATTCTGCTTCAAGGTCAAACATCTAACAGGGAAATAGGCCTTTTAGTGCTTTTAGACTAAAGAAGAAACCAATGTTCAACGCTGAACTCAGACAGATAGGAATTTAGTGTTGTGTTCCATATTACATCATTGTGAGAATATGTTATTTAATGCAAGCAGTGTGAGTACCTGCTTCTGTCTTTGTATCAGCCTATTGTAGTCCCATGTAAGCTTTCCTGTATTGCACATATGCTAAATAGTTTGCTTATTGACTTCCGGCCCAAGCGCTATATTGTTGATTGAATCCGGCACCGCTCAGGAGAGATCAGGCTGGGCTTGGCGTGACCCTAGTTTGCCTGAGTTCGTCCAAGCCCACTCAACTCTGACCGCTACCCCCCACCATCCAGTCTGTAGCAGCATTTGTGACGGGGGAATTTCTAACCCCTTTGTGGCATATAGGAGGGGAGTGCGCCTCCACTCTATTGATTGGGTTGGGAGGAGAGGGTGGCAGTCACAGTTTTGAGCAGGCATGGAAGAACTAGGTTCACACCAAGCCTAGGCTATTCTCTACCGCTTAGTCTGGACAGTCAGATATAGCTCCTCCCCTCCTGCACTGATGTCAGCGCTGAAAAGAAAGCTATGCCCACTGCTCAGAATAGAGAGAACACCCTCCAGGGTTAGATGTCACATGGCTGCAAATTAAAACATAAAAAAAGATACTTTTTATGCTGATTTTATATGAATGAATATGATAAAGTGATAAAACAAACTTATAGCAAACATTTCGGACATTAGTGATATGATGAGTTTCCATCTACTTTTAAAGTGATATTAAAGTCAAATGTTTTTCAAACATTTCATCAGCTTTTTCAAATGCTGATGAAATCACTTAAAATGGATGCTGCCTCTTGATGTTTAAAGGTTTTTGTTTCTTGCAGAATCATCTGGTCCCCTGAACTGGTACTGATATCCTGTTTTAGGGTGGCTCCTTTCCCTTGCAGGATCCTATGTAGGGCTGCAGCCAACGATTATTTTTTAGAATAGTTGCCAACTATTCTCATAATCGATTTGTTGTTGCAGCCCTAGTCCTATGGAGCCACCCTTGTGTGTGCTGGTAACCTGTACGTGTTCCCACAGGCAGAGCAAGACAAGCCATTCCAATCTCCCCTGCTCCCCTCTCATACTTCCTTCTCCAAGGAAGTAGATAAACAGTTGCTGGAAACTGCTCTGCCCCTTGTGATATTAAAATAGACAGGAAGTTCAGGAAGCTGAGATGGGAAAGTTGGAGCGGTTTGGAAACCTGATGACTGTAAGGCCAGGTTCACACCTAGGCAGCATTGTTTTTGCACATTTGTACGCACGTGTTCTGCGTGCTGTTATTTACACGTTTTTCACATTTTGACGCGCGTTTTGACTGGCAGCTTGAGAAACATTGTGGGAAATGGACAACCACGTATACAACCGCACATGTAAATGTACAACATGCATTTGCTGGGCGTTTCCATTGAAACCAGTCCTAAGTGTTTGGCCAGAAATGTAAAGGAATACTCTGCTGGGTAATGTATATTAGTTTGATCAGAATTCATTATTGAAAAAAGTTTTTGAGAGTTTCATACTATTGTAACTAGCTTTAAGCTGTAATCAGGAGTAGAAAATGTCCCCCCGCCAGCCGGTTCTAGGAGGATGCTGCAAATCTGGAGCCTATCCTGGGTTATAAGGACATATGAGAACAAAGTAATGACTGTGAGGCCTAATAATGTGATTGGAGACTGTGTTTAGCTTGGAATGAATTTTGTCATTGTTTCCAGTTTTGGCAGTTCGGAGACCCTGGTGACATCACAGCCTGGATATCATTCCTTTTCCTCTGACATTAATGTATACCTTTTCTTTGTACTCGGCTTATTTATCCATCCTCCATTTTCTCAAATGTCCCCGACTTGTCCTTCCCAGACACCATTTCTAGCCTAAGTTTGTGTCTCGCTTTCCCCAAATTTATTTTCACGCCGGCGTTATTTATAATCAGAGCCGCATTGTGAGATTGGTTTCTTGTTTGGCAGCCGGCTTCCTTGGGAGTCTCCACAGAATCTTCCGATTCCAATTAGGTTATCATTGGGATCTCTGCTAGCAAAAATGTATTTAGAAAAAAACAAATGTGAACAAAAAGAAATGACAGCGCTGATAAATGTTGCTGCTTGTCATATCCATTCCAGTTCTTCTTGATTAAAGGGACATTTGTAGGCTTGTCTTGAAAATAAATGATTTGGATGTTACAGCTGAACTCTGGGGAAACAGCTAACAACACAGATAAAATACATTTAAAAAAGAACACCGGGCAAATCAAATGTGAACCCTTGCACTGGGGTTGCTGCAAGGGTTAAAGGAGAACTATGAGGTGAGTGCTTTTCACTCACCTCATAGTTCTAGCTGACCTGTGACAATGAGACTGTCACCGGTCGGCTCAGTAGATCGGGAGGTGAGCGAACAGTTACCGGCGTTCACTCACCTCTCGATCCTATCACGGCTCTCTGCCGTGACAGGGGAGGGGCTGGATTCCCCCCTCCGATCCGCCAGCGCTGACTGGCGGAACGGATGGGGGAGGGGGCAGGGAACAGCTGGCTCTGCCCCTAGATAGTCAGAGCCAGCTGTCACTCACGCAGCTGAGCGGATCTCGACATCGATGTCAGGATCCGCTCCGGCTGTGGCGTCTCAGTATACCGCGAGCTGTAGCTAGCTTACTAAGCTAGCTGCAACCAACTGAGCTTAGGGTAACGGGAGGACGCTAGTTTGTGTCCTCCCGTTACACTAAGGAGAACTATGGGGAAAAGCCCTGACCTCATAGTTCATAGCTCCTTTAAGTTCTTGTTTTCTCTAGGGAGTTATACTCACCTGAACCACGATCCCGCCTGGCTCCTAGACTGGTCCCTTCAGCCTCGCTCCCTCTCCGCTCCAGCGATGGAATGTCCCAGCATCCTCACGCCCTATACATTGTACAGAATGTGATGACTCACTGGACCTTAGACCGCTGGAGTGGAGGGGGAGCAAGGCTTAAGGGACCGGTCTAGGAGCCAGCTGAGATTCTGGTTTGGGTGAGTTATTTTAGCATAATGAGCACTTAACCCTTGCAGTGCGGGGGTAGCCCTACTGCAGGGGTTAAGATTTCATTTTTCTGGAGTTCTGCTTTAAGAGAGCTGTTTTATCTGCTAAAGGATTTGTTTCTGTCCATCCAGTCCTGAGATTTGCACAGCACAGCCAGATGGATAGCACTATGTTCCCAGCTTTCTGACTGAACAGAAAAAGAGCAGCAGCAGACCGATTGGGTCATCTCTCCGCTCTTTTTACTCTCACCTGTTATCAGCACTTCCCAGTTCCGCCCTCTCTCTCCCAGTCTGAGTGTCCGTGTGCATGCTCCCCAATAGGGGGACCAGGAGAGATTTGTCCCCATTGGGACACACAAAAACAGGCAAGGGTTTACACCAGGGGTGTGCAACTTCAACCCTCCAGCTGTTGTGGAACTACAAGTCCCATGAGGCATTGCAAGACTGACAGTTACGGGCAGAGGCATGTTGAGATTTGTAGTTAAAGCACAGCTGGAGGGCCGGAGATGCCCACCCCTGGTTTACACCGTTCCCTGCTCTATCCAGAACAATAAAAACAGTTTTTATAGGTTCTCGAACAATAAATGTATGAAAAGTAAATGGAATGTATTGGAGCTGATCATAGTGTAGTGGACTTGGCTCAGAGCGATGTAGTTTTACCTGCAATCATTAGCCTGGTGTGGTTCCATTTAGGTTTGTATTCAGAATTTCAGATCTCTGGCTGGACTATTGGCTATAATCTTCCATTCGGCCCGCTGCACTTAATGATAATTAGGATATATAAAATTCTATCCAGACATTCGCTTTGAGTCCCAAAAACGGATGTATTGATAAAATATCTCTGCAGATTATGTAACTGCGCTGGATAGTTCAGTAGATGAGGATTGTGTATTGAACCAGATACAAAGTGTATCGTTCGCAGTGACACAGATACAAATCATTGAACAAGTAGAGACAATCGCTCTTTTCACTTAGAAGTATTGAAACTTTGTTTCTGCTCAGTGTTCCAAAGGGATGGCTTATTTGTCAGAGGGCAGCTATTTCCTGCTATTGAACGATTTCATAGTATATCCAATGATTATGCCGCTATGCCATAATCACAATGATGACAAATCACGGCTTGAACTATCTTGCTTTGCATGTAATGAGTCTATCTCATATATTAGTTTCACCTTTTAAGTTGCATTATTGAAATAAATGAACTTTTGCACGATATTCAAATTTTTCGAGTTTCATCTGTATATATGCTGTTCCGCCCAATCTGCATATTTCACAGAGTGTATGTGTGGAAAGAGTTATAACGGATATACTCATCCATGGATAGCATACGCAAATGCCACATGGTTCGTTACCTTACATATAGGCAGCAGGAACAGTCCATCGCCTCACCGTCTCATCATGAGGCTCCAGGTGGATTGCTCAAT